TCCCGACACTTCTCTGGAAGTTCGTCACCTGACCTTACGTTAATCACTTTGCAACTAACCTGTCAAGATTGCAGTTAACCAGTCAGACACACACACACACACATACAGAGAGAGAGAGAGAGAGAGAGGCACTATGCCGCACTTATTTGCATCTTGTTCTTCAATTATCAACCAAAAGCATACACATTCTACAAAAGAAAATGAATACTTACTCCAAGTAGCTTGTCCAAAACAAAACTCAACTCAATGGCCCCAATCCATTCACGTGACCCGACAAATGAAGGTTCCTTGTCACCAATTTCTACCAGTGCCTGCTGTATTTCTCTGAAATATACATCTTAATCTATGAGAACAAATATTATGGAAGAAATATAAAGGTTCAAGTAAGGGAATGCACATGCAAGTCGGATTGAAACGGATTTTTTCAACTGGAAGTTTAGCCTTTGGAAGGAAAGGTCCAAAGGATGCACTTAATAATAGAGTCCAGGAGCGACTTAACACAATAATCCATTGAAGCTTGGCGTACGATGACACAGCGCGTGAGGATGCTTTTGAGCCAAAGGACCCTAGAAAAAGTACCTGTGTGAAGGGACATCCATGGAAATATAGTGTTGCTGTCTGAACCAAGAAATGATAGTCTGCAGAGACCGATAAGCACAACCCCAGCCCTGCCAAGTGAAAGTTTGAGATGACAAATTTTATTTGGAAAAGTTTGAGTGCCACTAACATAAACAGTTATAGTTTTAACATTTCAAGTAACTGTAGTGTACAAAACTTCACTTAAAAAGGAACATAATTTCCTTGAACCAAAAAAATTATCTAGAGTGTATGATTAACCGCAGAACTGGCTCACAGCATTCAAAAATATATAATTTTGCAATATTGTAGTGAAACTTGGATACAAAGAAAAATGATAACTGAGATAAACATAACACATGAAAAGAAACCAGAAAAGAAGCATGATTACCCATCACTCAATATTATTTAAGTTCACCTTTTTCTGCTTTTACTTTGGTTCCTGTAATTATAACAGTAGACCTGCATTACATATCCTTTTCCGAGGTTCTCTACATTCCTATAGTTACTACAATGCAGCCTGCATATATTCCTTATTTTCTTTTAAATATACCAAACTCAGGTTTTGTCTTACTTTTTCCACATATACTGGAATTTGGTTACTCTCTCATTCCAGCAAATCCCGTATGCCAAGAACCATACAGCATCGCATACTGTTGCCAACTAAAATTCATTTCTGAAAAGCACGTTTACATCCAGCAGAAATATAAATCTAAATAATGA